TTGGCGCAAGAGCACCCTGCCATGCAGCTGAAGCTATTTGTCGATGGTTTAAGCATTCAGGCGCGAGGTGCGGAGGCGGATGTCTCGGCCTCGTTGCATGCGGCCACGACCCAGTATATTGATGAAATGGAGGCCCGTGGGATCCCCGTCTCCAGGGCCCGACCAGACAAGCCGAAGGGCAAGGGGTTCATCATGACAGCGCAGCGCTCCCTGCGGGCCCGCATCAAAGGCTGGGCCCACAGCCTGGGACTGGAGGTCCAGGCCACCAGCACGCAGCTTGGAGTTGATTCGGCGGGAGGAGGAGTTGTGTCGCTGCGCGCCAGGGCCGATGCCAGGATGGGGAGCGCTCGGCGACGCAGAAGTAAGTTGTCGAGTCTCGGCAAGCAGGGTGCGCGCACTTTTCAAGTTGCGCGTATGGGATTTCTCCCCTCTGTGCTGTATGGGGCGGTCTGCCTCGGAATGGACCCGACTCGGCTCACCCGAGCGAGGGCTCTCATGGCTTCAGCGCTGGGCGGGAACGCAATCGGTAAGGACCGACTGCTGCGCCTGTGGACGTTTCGTTGCGACCCCCTGGTCGACGCTTGCACGAAGCCACTGCTCAAATGGGCGGAGGCTATCTTTGCTGGCAGCCACGAGGAGATCATGGCTGCGGGGTGGCGTAGAGCTGTTGCGGCGGCTGCTGCCGCTAAGCCTGGGAGCAACCCCTGAAGACAGATAAAAGGACCTGCTTCAGCCGTCTGGGCCACACTCCATCTCCTCTCGTGGACGTGGCCTGCCCCTCACGTTTTCTCCGACCATCTCGGGCAGCACTGGGAGTTGCGTAGGACGGCACCGCAGTGTCTCAAGAAGCTGATCTGGACCCGTTTGGAATTTGCGGTTATGACCTCCTGGGCGGCCTCCAGGGACCTCGGAATCACCCGTCCTTTCCTCGAGCCGATTCGGGCTCTCCTTCGGCGAAAGGCTAACCGATCGCCGCAGAGGCGATCGGCTATCCTGGCCTACATAGGCCGAGACTTCTGGACCCAGGAAAAGGTCTGGCGCGCGGGCTTCGGGGACGACAGGTCCTGCCAAGCCTGTGGCGCAGAAGTCGGATGTCAGCACCATCGTTTCTGTTGCTGCCCAGGCCGAGGAGCGGCGAGAGCCACCGTCGCAGAGGCTGAGGGCCTCCAAGGGATCGTGCATCGTGCTGAATCCTCCTCCTCGGATTCCCTCCTCTTCTCCCGTGGGCTTCACGAGCACCCCCTGGAGGACCCGCAGTCTGATTGGATTATTGCCCTGGATGATGAAAACCCCGATTTTGTGAATCCCCCGCTGGTCTCAGGGCGGGCCTACTCTGACGGATCGGCCAGAGGCCCACCAGGGCTCAAGAGCTTCGGTTGGGGCTTCGTTTTCCTGGACCAGGACGGGGGGGGCTGTCAAGGCCATGCGGGGTACCCTCCCAGGGCTGCGTATCCTCGCCTCCGTCCTCCGTGCTGAATTGCATGGATTGCTCAAGTTGCTGTATAGCGCCCACCCTCCGCTGAGGGTAGGGATCGACAACAATTCAGTCATTCGAGGCCTCCGTAGAGGCCCCCGTTGGTGCTGCAGCCCTCGGAGGCCTCACGCCGACCTCTGGGGCAGGATTTGGGCCCAGCTCCAGGATAGTTTCAGCCAAGAAGGCGACTTCCAGGCCGTCAAGGTAAAGGCCCATGCGCGCGGACCGAAGGATGACTCGCACGAAAGTTTTTTCGATTTTCAAGGGAACCAATTGGCAGATAATGCGGCCCGCCTAGGGGCCGACATGCAGGAGGTCCCCCCGTGGAAGGCCCAGACCTGGACCACCCGCTCGGCGGAGGTCCAGGCGGTGTTGACTCTGGTGGCGGGGGTGACGGGGTTGACTGCGGATTTCGGGGATTCCACGGGGAGGCCTGCCGCGGGCTCCAGCGGGGCCCGCCGAAGGCGGCAAGGACCGCCCGAGGGGGCCCGAGCTCGCATCCTCCTCTGGAGGAGGGGGGCGTGGCGTTGCTCGACGTGTGGCCGCAAAGCTTTCTCCGGCAAGACGAAGCGCTCGTTGGCGCGCAAACCCTGCCTGGGTAAGATGAGGGTGGATCGTCGTTGGGGAGTCGGGCTGGGGCGGGGGGATGGGGAAGGAGACATTTCTCCCGCCCTCCGTGGAGCGGCCCTAGGGCACGAGCTGCACCGAGTGGGCCAGTATACATTCTGCGATCGGTGCTGTGTCTTTTCGAGCGAGAGGGGGTGCAAGCTCCTGGGCGCCTGCGTCGGGGCCCCGGCGAACCCCACCGCAGGGTACCGCCTCTCGCTCCTGCGCCGAGGCAGGAATCCTTACGCAGTGAAGGTCTCCCTCGAAGCGGTACCGCGCTCCCTGGTACAGGAGGAGTGTGACGCTTTCTGGGAGTGCCTCATGGACTGAGGCAGGACGGGGCGGGAGGCACCCCGTGGCGGAGTGCCCGCCCATCCTCTTTCTCTTGTGGCGAGCTGGGGCGGGAACCGCCAGGCATCGTTCTTGCAGCAAACCTCCCTCCTCCCTCCTCGCTCCTCGCTCCTCGTTCCTCGCTTCTCGCTCCCTCCTCCTCTTTCTCCTCCTCCTCGCTTCCTCCTGCTCCTCCTCCTCCTCCTCCTCGCTTCCTCCTGCTCCTCCTGCTCCTCCTGCTCCTCCTCCTCCTCCTCCTCCTCTTCGCTTCCTCCTCCTCGCTTCCTCCTGCTCCTCCTCCTCCTCCTCCTCCTCCTCCTCCTCCTCCTCCTCTTCGCTTCCTCCTCCTCGCTTCCTCCTGCTGCTCCTCCTCCTCCTCCTCCTCCTCCTCCTCCTCATCCTCCTCTTCGCTTCCTTCCCTCCTCCTCCTCCTCCTCGCTTCCTCCTCCTCCTGCTCCTCCTCCTCCTCCTCCTCCTCCTCCCTCCTCCTTCCTCCTTCTCCTCCTCCTCCTCGCTTCCTCCTGCTCCTCCTCCTCTCCTCCTCCTCCTCCTCCTCCTCCTCCTCCTCCTCCTCCTCTCCCTCCTCCTCCTCCTCCTCCTCCTCCTCCTCCCCCTCCCTCCTCCTCCTGCTCCTCTCCCTCCTGCTCATCCTCCTCCTCCTCCTCCTCCTCCTCCTCCTCCTCCTCCCTCCTCCCTCCGCCCCCCCCTCCGCCCTCCTCCCTCCGCCCTCCTCCCTCCTCGCTCCTCGCTCCTCGCTTCTCGCTCCCTTTCTCCTCTTTCTCCTCCTCCTCCTCCTCCTCCTCCTCGCTTTCTCCTCCTCCTCCTCCTCCCCTCCTCCTCCTCGCTTCCTCCTGCTCCTCCTGCTCCTCCTCTCCTCCTCCTCCTCCTCCCTCCTCCTCCTCCTCTTCGCTTCCTCCTCCTCCTCGCTTCCTCCTGCTCCTCCTCCTCCTCCTCCTCGTCCTGCCCTGCTGCTCTCCTCCTCCTCCTCCTCCTCCTCCTCCTCCTCCTCCTCCTCCTCCTCCTCCTCTTCGCTTCCTCCTCCTCCTCTTCTTCCTCCTCGCTTCCTCCTGCTGCTCCTCCTCCTCCTCCTCCTCCTCCCACGCGGGAAGCGCGCGCGGGAGCACCCGGAGGAGTGCTGGGCCTCGGGGGCCTGCCGGGGCCCGTAAAAGCGAGCACGATGACGAGGGATCGACGGGACCTGCGGAGGCCGGCCACGCGCGGAAGGGGGCTAGGTGGAGGGGGGAGGGCTTCTTAGAAGCACCCCTGCTTCTCAGAAGGCGCGGGCCTTCTAAGAGGCAACCTCCTTCTGAGAAGCCTTCCCCCCTCCCCCCACTCCTCTCTGCGCGCCGCCAAGGAGACGCCATTTCGCGCCTCGCGGTGCGGTGGAATGTACATGGTGCGTTCCAGACAAGGGCCTCGCCTCGTCGATTCGAGGTCCATTTGTCCTGGTCGATTCGAGGTGCATATGTCCTCGTCGATTCGAGGTCCATACAAGGCACTCCAGGACACGTCGTCGTCGTCCTCCTCCTTCTCCTTCTCCTTCTCCTCCTCCTTGTCCCCCTCCTCGATTCGAGGGACGAGGGAGTTGTCACGTCTTCATCGGCGGGCAGGCGACGGAAGCCAAAACACGAGGGCGCCTTCCCCCCTGGCGGAGGGCGGCGGAAGAGGCTGGCGGAGGCCAGCGGAAGCAGAAGCCGACCTCCTCGGGAGCCTCTCAAGCAGTGGCGAAGCGCCCTGTCGGGCCAGACGGAAGGGGGGATAGGGAAAGGGGGGGCTATGACATCTGCTGCGTGCAGATGGTTGCAGCCCCACAGAGGGGCCCATTCCTCGATACATGGCCGCCTCCGACGCCGGGAGGCGGATCTTACAGGATCTTTCGCATTGGCCCAGGTTTGGGTGCAGGATCTCGCAGGATCTTGCAGGAGTCTGCAAGGCCTGACTGACCTGGGTCTGGATTGACTCCGGTCAGAAGATCCCCGACCTCCCAACAGACGACAACCTTTTTGGGTTCAGGGTTTCTTCGGACTCCGCCATCTTACTCAGAGTTTTTCAATAAGCGTCGGGTGGGCGTCACCCCCGCCGACAGCCCCACATCGACCCCCGTCGCGGGCCGCCACCACGCGCCCAAAGGTGCTCCGACCCCCATCGCGGCGCGACGACGAGGCGAGGTTGACCCCCGTCGGAGGGGTACCCCCCACGCTTATTACGAAACCCAGAGTATTCGATCTAGCAAATGGTATTCGTCCAATCTAGCGCCGCCGTGCTCGGGTCGTGGGCCAGGCGCGTCTGGGAAGCTCTCGGCGTCTCTGGGGGATGCCTCTCTCGGGTGCCGGGGACTCTGGGGCTCATGTGGGCCTCTCGAGAGTCCTCTGGGGCCACGTGGGGGCGTCTTGGGGTCTCATGGCTGTCTCGGGGGCTGTCTTGTCACACGAGGGCTCCTTTGGCGGGGGGGGTCAGAGAGCATCGAACAAAACACATATGAAGCCCGTACCCCCCCCACCCGAAATTCGAGTTTTCGGGTTTGGTTGGAGTGGTCTGGTAGGTAGTCAGCACTGGTCAACGCGGCCCTCCTTCTGCCTTCCCCCGTGAGGTGGAGGAGCTGCGCGACGTGGAGCAGAAGGCCGCATATGCCACTCCCCCTCTTGGATGTTGTCATTATATTCTTGATGTGGGGTGGGTCTTGGGCACGAGTAATAATCCCGGTCGCAGGTACGGCAGGCAAGCAAGGCGGACGGAACCAGCCTGAGTATTCATTGCCTGCCCATAACCTCATGAGCCGATCGGAACCCACCCCCTCGTAGAGGATCGTTGGGATGCCAATGTGGCGCGCATCAGTGCAGTTTCTACGGGTGCAGTACTTTTCTGTGTGGCATTTGATACTACAGCGAATGTGTTTCAGGCGCCAACCCATCTTCACCAACGCGACCGGCTCTCCTCCCTTCGTTTCCTTCTTTTCTTGTGTTCTTCGTTTTCCTGCCCGTTCCTTCCCCCTCATCTAGCATCATCTAGCCTTCCTTTCCCCATCTTCCCCTCTTTGTCGCAGCTTCTGCCTCCCGCGGTCCAGCTTCCGCTGCACTCACTACCAGTCTGGGAATTCTCATCTCCTTTTTCTCTCTCTGTCTCTCTCCTCATGAGAACGGGAGAGGATGGGCACGTGGAAGGAGGAGGATGAGCGAGGAGGGAGACGGGAGGAGGGAGGATGGAGGAGACACGCATGCGGAGGAAAGGATCAACTATGATGATGTTGCTGCAGAGAGTGAGGAGGAGGAGGATGGAGCAGGAAGCAGTGAAGCGGGAGGAGGGAGGAGGGCTTGTGAGACCAAGAGGACAAGGAGGAGATGGAGGAGAAGGAGCAGGGGGAGGCGTCCCAGAGCAGTGGCGTCGCAGATGCAATTCCAGCCCCTGGGGCAGCACTGACGTGCGGGGAAGGTTGCCGCTTTTGCGTGAAGTCGTGGCTGCCTCGGTGGGTGGCGGTGCATGCAACACTCTGGTGCGAGAGGGAGCCGGGGTCCGGGGTCCTTTATATGTCGTTTCAGCGTGCCAGGGGGCACGTGTGCGGATGACAGTGTGGGGAGATCCGTATGCGTATGTATGAACATGTACGTATCTAAATGCATACTCCTTGCACATGTGTGCGCGTGTGTACATGTATATGTGTATATCGAAGACGCCTACGGCGAATCACCGCTGCCTCCTGCCTTTTGGAATCGCCCATGTGGCCGAGCGTTGTGGAAAGAGTTTTGCCAAGCTATCGGACCATTTGCTCCCCCAGCCGTTGCGGAAACCCTTCGGGAACACTGGTGGGAGGATGGCGTGGAAGATCAGGAGGAGGGGGAGGAGGAGGAGGAGGAGGAGGAGGAGGAGGAGGAGGAGGAGGAGGAGGAGGAAGAGGAGGAGGAGGGGGGCATCTTGGGAGCCTCTGGGGGCACTCTTGGGGCCTCCTGGGAGCTTCCCGGGAGCCTCTTGGAGGCATCTTGTGGGCCTTCTTGGGCCTTTTGGGGGCCTTTGGAGGCTTCTCGGGGGCCTCTTTGCCCGTCTGAGGGCGTTCCTGGTATGTCTGACGCCGGCGGAAGCTATCCTGGGGGCCTCTGGTCCTCCGGGGCCGTTCTGAGGCGTTTTCGAGGCCTCTTGGGCGATCTTGGGGCTACCTTTGGGGGCGATCTTGGGCCGATCTTGGGAGCCGTCTCGCGCCGTCGGAAGGCCGAGAATAATCAGATGTTGAAATCCTTCGAGAACCTCAGGATAATCAGTGATGTTGGCCTCTTCGGGCCTTCCTGGAGGACCTCTTGGAGGTCTCTTGGGCCGTCTTCGAGGCCTCTTAGGGGGCTCTTGGGCCGTCGTGCCATCTTGGGCTGTCTTGGAGGCTATGTGGGCATACTTGGAGACATCTTGGACGCTATTGGGCCGTCATGGAGACCAATGTGGACTCTCTTGGGCGAACTTGCTGGCCATCTTGGCAGTCTTGGAGGCCATCTTGGGCCATCTTGGAGCCATCGGGAGCAGGAAAAACGTTTACAGCCACCTCTGGGCAGGCCTTCCGGGTGGCCGGCGCGCTGGGCCGAAGCCCCAGGGGGAGTTCTTGTGGAACACGAGCCAACACTAAACCGAATAGGGTCTAGCACGCCAGGCAGCCTTGTGATGAGTCAACAGGGGGCGGCGGATAACGGAAGGAGCTAGGCACGAGCGATGACGTTCTGGTGGAGCGAAGCCCCCTAGGGAGGCGTTCCAGGGGAGGGGCGAGGCGCGGGCGAAAAGTCTACTGGCGAAGTTCCCTTGAAGTTTTTCGAGCGAAGCGGCTCCAGGGCGGCACCAATGGCCCGATTTCTTAAAACTTTTTCAGCGGAGCGGCTCAAGGGCCCCAAGACAGCCCAAGAAGGCCCCAGAACGGCCCCAGAGGGCACCAAAACGGCCCCAAGAGAGCCCCAAGAGGGCTCAAAGAGGCTCCCAGGCCCTGCCCCAAGGAAAGCTCCCAGACGGCCGAAGGCCTCCAAGACGGCCTAAGATGGCCCCGAAACGTTGGAAGAGGCTTCCAGGAAGCTTCCCCAGAGGGCCCACAGAGGCACAATCATTGGTTTTTCGATAGTTTTTGAAAGTTTTTGGAGTCTCGCCTTTCCGTCCCAGAGCGGCCCAGAACGGCCCAAGAGGCTCGAAAGGTCGTCCCCAGGCAGCCCACCAGGCTCCCCGAATGGCCCCAAAACGATCCAAAAGGGTTCCCAGTCGGCCCCAGAGGGCCCCAAGAGAGCCCCAGGAGGGCACCAAGACGGCCCCCAGAGAGCCCCAGGAGGGCCCCAAGAGGCTTCCAAGAGGGCAGCCCGAGGCCCCCAGGAGAGCCCCAAGACTGCCAAAGGCATCCAAGACGGCCCAAAAGGGCCCCAGGACGGCCCAACGGGGCTCCCAAAGGGCTTCACAAATACCCCCGAGAAGCCCCAGAGACGCCAAGTAACACTATGCCTCCCAACTGTGACAGGTGACGGAACAAGCTTTGAACACAAAGGCTTCCCAGAGCGCGGCGACGTAAAAAGCTTTCAACAGCGCGGGACGTAAAAGTCTCTAAACACCAGGGCTCCCAACAGGACTTGTTGGGAAACCCAGCGTTACGCCCGTGTGTCCGTGTAAGTCGCTCCAACAGATGTAAAATTGCATGCGTACGCATCGGTGGCCGCACCGCCGAAACAAGCCTCCCAGGACGGCGCCTTCAGGAACATGTAAAAAACATGGTGTTGCACACCATCTCGAGGGACAAAGGGGAAGACTCATTGAGTTTCCAGCACTTTGTGTCCTGGGCCGCGCAGGCTCCCAGGAGCGAAGGGTGCCATGAGCCATCTCGGGCCAGTTCGTGAAGCGCTCTTTCTGTTTCCGTGCCGGCCCAAGTGACGGAAAGAGCGAGGTACGAGCGATGTACGTTGAGTTGGGGCGAAGCCCTCTAGGGATGGGGTCCAGGGGAGGGGCGAGGCGCGGGGGGATGGTTGTAATGGCCGCCCGGGGGCCGCTTCCCTCGTGTTTCTTCGAGTGAAGCGGCTCCTGGGCGCCTTCCATGGCACGTTTCCTAGTATTTGTTCAAGTGAAACGGCAAGAGGGCCCCAAGACGGCCAAAAGCGCCCCCAAACGGCCCCAACACGGCCCCAATAGAGCTTCAGATGGCTTCCAGACGGCCCAAGAGAGCCTCGAGACGGCTCCAGAGGCCCTCGAGAGGGCCTCAGGAGGACGGTTTTTCGGGTTCTCATTTTTTGGGGCCCAGACGGGCCAAACACGGTCCACGAGGCCCCAAAGCTCGTCCAAAGACGGCCCCAGAGGCCCCCCAAAGAGACGGCCCAAGAGGGCCCCCGAACAGCCCAAGAGGGCACCAAGACGGCCCAACGAGAGCTCCAAGAAGGCCCCAACATGCTCCCTAGTGACTCCCAACGGGGCCCGAAGAGGCGGTGTGGGGACTGGGCTATTGGGTGTGGGGACTGGGCTGGCCCCAAGACGGCGAAGAGTCCCCAAAAAGGCCCTCAAGAGGGCCCTCGAGAGGCCTCAGGAGGCCAAACACATTGTTTGTTTTTTGTAGGGTTTTTGAAGGTTTTTCAGGTTCTCGCCTTTTCGGGCCCAGAAGGGCCCAACACGGCCCACGAGGCCCCACAGTTCGTCCCAATACGGCCCCAGAGGGGCACAAAACTATCCAAAATGGCCCCCAGACGGCCCAAGAGAGCGCCCAAGACGGCCCCACGAGAGCCGCCCCAAGAGGCTCCCAAGAGGGCCCGAAAAGGCGGTGTGGGGACTCGTCTGCTTGGGTGTGGAGACTGGGCTTTCCTAAGACGGCCCAAGAGTCCCCAAACGGTCCCCAAGGGCCCCCAAATGACTCACAAGAAGCCCCATAGGCGCCGACGTTGGGCCCTCTGGGGGGGCGCCTTGGGCTGTCTTGGGGCTACCTCCTTGGATGCCTCTTGGACGCCCCTTGGGTCGTCTTGGGTGTCTGGAATCTCCGAACTGGCGGTAACCTTAACATCCTTTAACCACTTGCGGGCAATCACTGGTTTTGCCCCCGCCCCCCCCCCCTATTCGAGCTCTCCGAGAAGGCGGTCTTGGGGACCTCGTGGGCCGTCCTGAGGCCCTCTTGGGCTATTTTGAGCAGTCTTGAGGCTCTCTTTCAAAGTTCCTGAGCTGTCTTGGGCCATCTTGGACAGTTGGTTCTCGCCTTGGCTGTCTTGGAGGCCATCTCGGCCGTGTGAAGGCCGAACAGAGCACGAGGACGCATTTTGAGAAGAGGCGCGTCTTTCATGCACGCGCGCGTCGGGGGGGTCCCCTAAACGCTACACAACCTGCCAGAGACCAGGCGAACACTCTAACACGCCCACTCCGTGCAGGCACGGCGGAGGATGTTGATGCTGCTGTTGATGATGATGCTGCTTATGATGGTGATGGTGATGCTGATGATGATGCTGATGATAATTATGATGATGATGATGATGATGATGATGATGATGATGATGATGATGATGATGATGATGATGATGGTGATGGTGATGGTGATGATGATGATGATGATGATGAGGGTGCTGCTGCTGCTGATGATGATGGTGATGCTGATGATGGTGACGATGCTGGTGCTGGATGATGCTGCTGATGATGATGATGCTGATGATGGTGATGATGAGGATGATGAGGATGATGATGAGGATATGGATGAGGATGCTGATGATCATGATGTTTATTACTGCTGCTGATGCTGCTTCCGAGAAGGACGGTGATGAGGAGGATGGTGCTGCTGGTCATGATGAAGACGATGCTGATGCCGTTGCTGATGATCATGCTGCTGATGCTGATGATTGTGATGATGATGACGATGTTGATGATGATGATGATGCTGCTGCTGATGATGATGATGATGATGATGATGATGATGATGATGGCGGTGATGCTGATGATGACGACGCCAATGATGCTGCTGCTGATGCTGCTGATGATGATGATGATGAAGATGGCTACGCTGATGATAATGCTGTGGATGCAGCTGAGGATTCTCATGGGGATGCTGGTGATGCTGATGCTGATGGTGATGCTGGTGATGATGCTGATGGTGATGACGCTGCTGCTGCTGATGCTGATGCTGATGCTGATGATGATGGGGAGCTGGAGGAGCCCGAGGACGACGATGATGAGGATTCTGCTGATCATGTGTTTGATGATGCTGATGCTGCTGCTTCTGATGATGATGGTGATACCGATGCTGCTTCTGATAATGATGATGCTGATGATGATTATTTATCATCATGGTGATGATGCTGATGACGGTAATGCTGGTTTTGATGATGTTGATTAGGATGATGATGTTGATGCTGATACTGGAGATGATGCTGATGATGCTGATGCTGATGATGATGCTGACGCGACTTATGATGATGTCGCTGTTGATGAGAACGTTGATGACGATGATGGTGACGACGATGATTCTGATGGTGATGATGACGATAATGTGGATGATTGATGATGGTGGCGAGCTTGAAGATGATGATGATGATGCGGATGATTGATGATGGTGGCGATCTTGATGATAATGATGAGGCTGCTGCTGATGATGATGATACGGATGCTGAGGATGATGCGGATGATGATGATGATGATGATGAGACTGATGTTGTTGATGCGGCTGATGTTGCTGATGATGATGATGATGATGATGACGACAGAGAAGATGACGATGATGACGGTGGTGGTGATGACGACGTGGTGATGTTGATGCTGCTTATGATGGCGACGCTGTTGACGGTGATGATGGTGATGGTGGTGACGATGGCACCATTGTGTTCAATGATCATGTCGGCATCGACGACGGCAGCGGCGGCCTCGACGGCGATGACATTGACGTTGTTGATGGCAACGTCGACGACGCTGTCGCTGCCGCTTCTGCTGCTGCTGATGATGATGTCGGTGGTGGTGGTGATGATGGAAATGATGGTCATGGCGCCGATGGTGCCTGAGTAGTATGCGGTGACGGTGATGGTGGTAGTAGTGACGTTGCAGAGTCCGATGAAGATGAATCGGATGATGCAGACGATGATGAGACCGCTGATGATGATGATGGTGATGACGATGATGATGATGATGATGATGATGATGTTGATGTTGATGTTGATGTTGTTGATGCTGATGCTGATGGTGAGGATGGTGAGAATGGTGATGATGATGTTGATGATGAGGCGGACGCGGATGATGAGGATCTTGATGATAATGGAGATGCTGATGTTGGTTATGATGATGACGATGATGATGATGCTGCTGCTGATGATGCTATGCTGATGGTGCCAGTTACCATGCTGTGATGGTGATTGTGGTAGTAATGGCGATGCAGGGGATGACGTAGCTGAATATGATGATGACCGCTGATGGTGATTCCGCTGATGGTGATTATGCTGATGACGATGCTGATGCTGATGATGATGCTACTGATGCTGATGCTGACGATGATGCTGAGGATACTGATGCTGATGCTGCTGCTGACGATGCTTATGATGCTGATGACGGTAAGGTGTTCTGTTGTGTGTTTTTGTTTGTATCGTGATGAGGGTGGTTTTGATGGCGATGCAAATGGTGATGATGATGTTGATGATGCTCATGTTGATACTGATGCTGATGCTGCTGATGATAATGCTGCTGATAGTGATGATGATGTTGTTGATGGTGATTTTGATGCTGGTGCGGGTTCTGATGATGATGATGCTGATGCTGATGATGATGATTCTGATGACGATCATGATAATGGTAATGCTGGTGATGGTGAAGCTGATGATGATGATGCTGATGATGATTATGATGGTAATACTGGTGATAATGATGATGGTATAAACTTGTTAGGTTGATGGTGATCATGGTTTCGTGTCACTTTGACGGTGAGGGCGAGGAGGACGAGGATGTCGGTTGTCGTGGCAGTTGTGGTGTCGATGGGCATGATGTGGACGGTCATGATCAGGATGCTGCCAGATTTGGCGTTGATGAGGGCTTGGGGAGATGGTAGGATGAACTGGGGTGGCGGAGGATGACGAGGGGGACCATCATGGCTGCCGTGCCAGGAGACGGGCAGGGCCTCCCCCAGGTGTTTCCTTTCGTGCTTCTGCCCAAGTGCGTGGCCCTGCTGCGGCTCATGAAGCTGGGAAAGGCGCGACTCTGGCATCATATGGGGGAGGGGGGGGGGGGGAGGAGGGGGCGTACGAGGAGGAGGTGGAGACGGAGGAGGGTGATGCGGAGGATGATGATGATGACGAGGGTCTTGGGCCGTGTCATGCGACATATTTGGTGGGTGTCGGGGGGAAAGGGTGATGCTGCAAGTGTCGGCACACAAGTGTATGCATGTGTATAAAACACACATATATGTATGTGTGTGTTGTCTGGGTGAGTGCGCGCGCGCGTGCGCGCATGTGTGTGAGGGTGTATGTGTGTGTGTGCGCGTGTGTGTGTGGGTGTGTGTGTGTATCTGTGTGTGTGTGCGTGTGCGTGTGCGTGTGCGTGTGCGAGTGCGTGCGTGGTGTGTGTGTGGGTGGGTGTGTGCGTGTGTTTGCGTGCGTGCGTGCGTGCGCGCGCGCGCGTGTGTGTGTGTGTGTGTGTGTGTGTTTGTGCGTGTGCGCGCGTGTGTGTGCGCGCGCGTGTGTGTGTATGTGTGTGTGGCGCGCGCGCGCGCGTGTGTGTGTGTGTGTGTGTGTGTGTGTGTGTGTGTGTGTGTGTGTGTGTGTGTGTGTGTGTGCGCGTGAACCTAGCTTATACATAAGTATGTGTGGGCGATAGTGGTATATCTATATGCGTTTGTGTGTGTCTGTTGTGCGTGTGCGTGCGCGTGTGTGTGTGTGTGTGTGTGTGTGTGTGTGTGTGTGTGTGTGTGTGTGCGTGCGTGCGTGTGTGTGTGTGTGTGTGTGTTTGTGTGTTCGTGTGCGTGCGTGTGTTTGCGTGCGCGTGGGGAGCGAGAAGGGTGTGGCGTCGGAGGCTGCGTGGAGAGCGCGGGGGGGTTTGGTGGTGGGGGGGGGGGTGGAGGAGCGGGGCGGGGGGAGAGCCCAAGTCCTGGCCTCACAGTCGCTTTACGCAAAGTTCTAGAGCCAAACCCTCTCTCATTCCCCTCCTTTTCCGCCCGATGCCAGGACGCCGAATGAAACATGTTCCCCTGAACGCTCCACGCCGTGTCAGGGACCAGCGCCGCGGTTGTCACGGCACGAGCTTGCCTTAGGTGCCTTGAGGTTGGCGAGGGCGGAGCAGTCCGAAAAGAGGGGGGTGGGTAGCCGCGCGCCCGCCGCGCGCCCAGACTCATTCGGGTGCGTCGTCGAAGCTCTACCAGCGGTGCGACGTGCTGAGGGCGGCGAGCGAGGAGGCGGGCTCTGCCCTGCGCGCCAGCACGTCATCCCGCGAGGAGGGCGACGAGGGGCATAGGCGTGATGAGCGGTGGAGGGGGTGCTTACGATGGTAATGGCGACGGTGAGGGTGACGACGAGGATGATGACGACGACGATTCCGACGATGACGATGATGTTGACGATGATGATGATGATGATGCTGATGACGCTGATGATGATGCTGATGAGGATGACGACGATGATGATGATGACGATGATGACGCTTACGCTGACGATGACGGCGATGATGATGCTGATGATGCTGATGATGGTGATGCTGATGATGAGGATGAGCATGTCGATTAATATGTTGTTGATGATGGTGGCGACGGGGATGATGATGATGAAGATGATGATGAGGCTGCTGATGCTGACGCTGATGCTGATGCTGATGCTGCTGATGATGCTGATGGTGGGGGTGATGCTGCTGCTGATGATGATGATGCTGCTGCTGATGCTGATGATGCTGATGGTGGTGGCGGAAATGATGATGATGTGGACGATGCTGATGCTGCTGCTGCTGGTGATGATGAGGCTGATGATGGTGACTAGGATGGTGATGATGCTGCTGAGGATGATGATGATGATGATGAGGAGGAGGAGGAGGCTGGCGATGATGATGCTGATGCTGATGCTGATGCTGATGTTGCTGCTATTGAGCTGCTTCGCTGATGATGATGAGGAAGTGGAGGACGAGGAGGAGTATGAGGAGGAACATGAGAAGGAGGAGGGAGGCTGTTGTGGTGGCGGTGATGATGACGATGACGATGGTGTTTACGAGACAGGGAAGGAGGATCAGGGCTACGCGGATCACGCGGAGGATATAGAAGGCGAAGGATGTGGACGGATGGCGAGGGGTGGTACAGAGAGGGCGAGGAGTGGGACAGATGGATCGGGCGGGTGATGATGCTGCTGAAAGTACGGATGAGGATGCTGACGATGACACTGACGATGATGATGTTACTGATGCTGCTGATGCTGCTGATGATGCTGATACGGATGATGACAATGTTGATGCTGATGCTGAGGCTGCTGCTGATGATGACGCTGGCGATGATAATGGTGGTGATGATGGTGATGATGATGAGGAGGATGAGGAGGCGGAGGAGGAGGAGGGTGGTGGTGGCGGCGGTGGTGGCGGTGATGATGCTGTTGTGGTTGATGATGATGATGCTGATGATGCTGCTGATGCTGATGCTGATGATGCTGCAGATGATGCTGATGATAAGCATGATGATGTTGCTGATGATAAGCATGATGATGTTGCTCTTGATGTGGATGATGCTGATGCTGGTGCTGATGCCGTCGGCAGCAGCTGGTGGGTGGCAGCACCTTGCCCTAGACCGTATGGAAGAGGCGGAGGGGGGGGGAGGAGGAGGAGGAGGAGGAGGAGGAGGAGGAGGAGGAGGAGGAGGAGGAGGAGGAGGAGGAGGAGGAGGAGGAGGAGGAGGTTGAGGCTGAGGCGGAGGATGCGGGAGAGGAGGAAGAAGAGGAACGAGCGAGCGGACGGACGCTAGAGTCGTGCGCGCTCCTCTAAGGAGCTCGCCGATGCTCATTAGGGCTGTGCGTGGAGGCCGTAGCATCGACGTGGAAGATGAGGAGAACGAGGAGGAGGCGAAGGAGGAAGAGGAGGAGGAAGAGGAGAAGGAGGAGGAGGACGAGGAGTGGGACAGGGAGGGGGAGGAGGGGGAGGGGGAAGAGGGAGAGGAGGAGGAGGAGGAGGAGGAGGAGAAGGAGCAGGAGAAGGAGGAGGAGAAGGAGAAGGAGGAGGAGGAAGAAGAAGAAACCGAGCAATACAAGGACGCCGAATATGAGTAATTAGTAGGGATTGTGAGAAAACAGAGGAAGACGAATCCAACTGCCAAGAAGAACGCTACTAAGAGGAATACCAAATCTATTAATTTCCAACAGAAGGCGACTGCGAGTAATACTTCGAATGCTAATCGTAGTCGTACCAATCACATTCAGTAGAATACGACGAGTAAGCCAAACGAAGCGCACTATTAATACGGTTAATACTAATACGACGAAACATACACACTACTAGTGACCGTACTACTAAAGTTATACTACCCATAGGTAAATCGAACATAATAGGAACAATGCTGATATCACTAAATAGTAATAACGTTGCACATGTCAGCCATGATGACATTAGTGAAACGCAGAACATGAAGAAGTCGGACAACCCTACTATTACGAATAAGCGTACTAATACGAATAAGACGGATATGAGCAATATTAAGAATAATGAAAGACAAACATACTAATACTAAGAGTGCGAAGAGGCATCATATTAGTACGAGTCAAAAATAATAGAATCATACGACACACAAGCTAGAATACACATACACATAACACGAACAAAAACAGTATATTATGACTAAGGAATGATGAACATGAGGATATCAGTATTATTAATCGCAAGGATAATACGACGAACAGGAGGGCCAGGATCATGAGTATCAGGAGGAGGAGAAGGAGGAGGAGGAAGAGGAGCAGGAGGAGGAGGAGGAGGAAGACGAGGGGGTGGAGGAGCAGCGCGAACGCGCCCGAGACACCACGGAGACGCAGGCCAGGGCCCCCCAGAAGAGCGCGATTCGCCCGCCCCGCGGCGCAGGTCCGCGGCAGCAGGCAGCTCCGAGTGGCGCGCCGCCGCCGCCCCCGCCGCCCCCGCCCCCCCCGCCCCCGCAGGCTTCCGGAGGCCTTCGGAGGCCTTCGGAGGCCCCTTCCGGAGGCCTTCGGAGGCCCTCGGAGGCGTTCGGAGGTCGACGGAGGCCCCTCTGAAGGCCGTCGGAGGAGCTCAGGAGACCTCCTGAGGCCCCTCGGAGACCGTCGGCCTTCTGAGGGCCCTCTGAGGCCATCGGAGGCCCTAGGCCGCCGCGCGCCCGCGCGGCCGCCGTAGCCGTCGTCGTGGCGAGAGGGATGAGAGGGGCACGCATCACCAACTCATGGAAAGTCTTCATGTGGAGGCGATGGGGTGGGGGAGGGGGAGGAGGAGCAAGAGGAGAAGGAGGAGGAGGAGGCTGCTGCTGCTGCTGCTGCTTCTGCTGCTGCTGCTGCTGCTGCTGCTGCTGCTGCTGATGATGATGATGATGATGATGATGATGATGATGATGATGATGATGATAATGCTGGTGCTGATGCTGCTGCTGCTGGTGATGATGATGACGCTACTGGGGCTACTGCTGCTGCTGCTGATGATGATGATGATTATGATGATGATGATGATGATGATGATGCTGATGATGATGATGAGGATGATGATTATGGAACTGACTCTGACGATTCTATAGGCTTACGCCACATCCGCCGACCCCTCATCTTGGCGGTCTTGCCGGCTCGCTTGAATCGGGTTGGGGAGTCGTGTAGGGGTCCATAATGACCTCTCTTGGGGCCATGTGGAATCCGCTTGGGGTCATCTCGAGGCCCTTGGGGGCCCATCGGAAAAGAAAGGACGCGAATGCAATCTTGGCATCGTTTTGGAGATGCCCAAAGGGTGGAAGCGTTGGAGTGGGGCCCGTATATTTCTTGCTGGGTTTGACTTCTTTGGTGATGCGGGGTTGTTTTTTTGGGGCATCCCTGAGCCCGCACGGGGAACCTCGGGGCTGTGGAGGGGACGAGTCTCACACGCTTGGGAACCGAGAAGGTGTTCGCGGTTTGTTTCGCATTGCTAGGTCCAGGCACGTTACGAGCCCGAGGCCATCGCCACCATCATCATCATTACCGCCACCATCATCATCATCAGCATCATCATCACCATCATCATTATCATCACCACCATCATCATCATGCTAAGCATCATGATCATCATCGGTATCATCCTCGTCATAATCATTGTCGTCGTTGTCGCCATCACTGTCTCAAGGGATACTATTGTTTACCTGACTGCGGGCCTCCGCGGTGGCATGTACATGCCACCATGGCAGCGCCATGGTGGCATGTACTGCGCGAAGTGCAGCGGTATCAAAGCCAAGCAAAACTCGCTGAAAGACAGCGCGAAGTGGAATCAGAGCGTCGGAACAGTGCGATGTACGAACGGTAAGTGCCTGTCGCTATATGACGAAAAGGCGGATGTGTCGGAAGCTCAGAAGAAGCACAATGCTGCGGGGGAAAGGCTCTGTCGGAAATGCGCGGAAGAACGAGAGAAAGAGGTGCGACGGGGGAATGCGGAAGCAGCGAATCGCAAGCGGAAGGCCGAGGCATACGCGAAGCCACTGACGTGCGCGGCGCGCGGAGAAGCGTTCTCGGACACGAGACATTTGAAGCGTAAGCAAGTGGAATATCATCGAGCGGCGAAAGGAACGAAAGTGGTGCGCGGAGGCTGCAAGAACCTCGGGTTCACAGCCCGCAGTTGCCAGGCGTATCAGTGCGGCGGCGCGTGCAAGAGGACTACCGAAGTCGGCGTTCTCCGGGGGCCCTTCCAACGTCGCGCGCGATGCAAAAAAAGGCACCCTGATATGCAAGACCTGCAAATGATGCCCAATCGGGGGCTCGCGTGCGGGGGATGACAGGGGGGAGGGGGAGAGATGGATGGGGGGTGAGGCGGAGGATGGGGGGGAGAAGAATCGGGGATGAAGAGGATGAGGCGGGGGAGGAAGAGGAGGAGTGGGCGAGGAGGAGGTGGAAGAGGAGGAGGAGAGGGGGAGGAGGACGGGGACACAGAGACGAAACTCTGGGATATGTGCTATGGGTTAGAGGCTTGTTGTATGTGTATAGGGATCTCGCGGCACGCTTCTCGGGGACCTCTGGAAAGCAGTTTTGAACCCACCTGGCGGCCGAGGAGGAGGAGGAGGAGGAGGAGGAGGAGGAGGAGGAGAAGGAGGAAGGGGACACAGAAACAAGGCTCTGGGTTATGGGTTTTGGGTCAGAGGCGTCTTGCACCAGCTTGGGACCAATTTGGAAGCAGGTTTTGCCGTCTTGGGGTCGTCTTAGGCCGAATTGGGAGGCGTCCAGGGCCGTGTTAGGATTCTCTGGGGCCGTCTTGAGGCCCTCTTGGGGCGCCGTGGGGCGATCTTGGAGGCTCTTGGGGCTACGTGGGCCGACGGAAGCCGGGAAAGGCAACAAGTGCAAACATGTTCAACAACGCAATGGAAATGTAATGAAATGCGTAATGTGCGCCTCTTTCAGATGTCTTGGGGGTCTTCTTGGAGACTTCGTGGGCGATAGTGAAAGCCTTTTAGGCCATCTTGAGGCCATCTTGGGCCGTCTTGGAGCCATCTTGGGCCGTCTTGGAGCCATCTTGGGCCGTTTTGGAACCATCTTGGGCCGTTTTGGAGCAATTTTGGCCTCGAGAACGCGAATCCTTTTGTGTGCGCAAACGCAACCCCGCCACCGTGCCTGGGTTGTTGATATGAGACTTGTGCGGTGATCGTTGGGATCTCTTGGGGGGCTTCTCGCGGGACTCTTGGAGGCAGTTTCGAAGCCTCTTGGGGGCCGTTTTGGAGCCTCTTGGGGGCCTCTTGGGGCGTCTTGGGGGCCTCTTGGGGCGTCTTGGGGCGGCTTGGGGCCTTTTGGGGCCGTCTTGGGGCGGAAGGCTCGGATTGTCGGTTCGGGCTCCCCCTCTTGGGCACCTCTTGGGGCCGTCTTGGGGCCCTCTTGGGCTGTCTTGGGGGCCTCTTGGGCCGTCTTGGCGCCCTCTTGGGCCGACTTGGGCGCCTCTCGGGGGCCTCTCGGGGCGGTCTTGGGGTGCTCTGGGACCGTCGTCAACGCCGTGAAGGCCGACAAGTAGTATATGATCAAAGTGTACGTTTTCCCATAGGAATTTGACGATTTTCGGCGCTTCGGCCCTTCTGAGGACTGCTCTTGGAGGCCTGTTGGGCCGTCTTGGAGGCCTCTAGGCTCGTCTTGGGGGCATCTTGGGCGTCTGGGAGCGCTCGTTTGGCGCCTCGGAGCCCTCGTGAGCCGTCTTGGAGGAGTCTTGGAGCCTTCTTGGCCCGTTTTGATCCCCTTTTGGGCCCAAAAGAGCCCCGTGACGCGCTCGTCGTGGGCCCGGGGGGGGGGTCGAATCTCCGGTTTGGGGTCCCAGGGGGGGGTATGGGGGGGGAACTATCTCACACGCCTAGAGACCCACAAGGGGTCGGCGGATTATGATTATGTTGTTGATGGTGGTGATGAAGAGGAGGACAATGACGATGATGATGATGCTGATGCTGATGCTGATGGTGGCGGTGGTGATGATGATGTTGATGATGACGACGATGATGATGATGACGACGATGACGATGACGATGACGACGATGATGATGCTGATGGTGATGATGACGATTATGCTGATCCGATGAGGATGATGATGATGATGATGGCACAGGTGATTATAATGAGGCTGCTGCTGCTGATGATGATAATGTTGTTGATGATTATGATGATGATCATCATGACGATGGTGGTGATGATGATGTTGCTTCTGCTGGTGGTGATGATGGTGGTGATGATGGTGGTGATGATACTGCTGCTGATGATGATGATCCTGGTGGTGACGACGATGATGATGATGATGATGATGACGATTGTGATTACGATTACGATGCTGCTTATAATGATGAGGAGGATGAGGATGAGGATGAGGATGAAGATTCTGATGATGATGACGATGATGATGATGCTGATGATGATGCTGATGATCAGGATGATGATGCTGATGATGATGGTGATGATGATGATGCTGACGATGATGACGACGATGATGATCACGAGGAGGAGGAGGAAGGAAGAGGAGGAGGAGGAGAAGGAGGAGGAGGAGAAGGAGGAAGAGGTTCGGAGGGACACGCTTTATTTTCCAAAGAGGGGACATTCGAATGTTGTCGGAGCCGTTGGGCCTTTTCCAGGCAGACGTTCGGCTCTATCAGGGTCCATTCGGAGTCTCCGCGGGGGGCTCGAAAGGTTGCCCGCGTGGCAGGTTTAACGCGCTTTTGGCCCGCTGGGTCGGCGTGTTTTCGGAGGCGTTCATGTCAGAGTTCGTCACGTCCTGTGTCCTCTCACTCCTTCGTTGTGGACTTGCCTTGCACGTGATACGTGGGTCAGGGCTTCGGGTGCGTGAGACGTGGGCCAGGAGCGAACGCGAAGACCCGTGAACAAACTGAGGATAACCATTTGTTTCGGCTTCCTGGGGCCTTCTAGGGAGTCGTGTTGGGGTTCTCTTGGGCCGCCCCTTGAGCCGTCTTGATGCCACCCTGGGCGGTCTTGGAGGTTTTTTTCTGCCGTCTGGAGACTTCGCGGGCCGCCCTGGAGCTCTCTTGGGCCCGCCTGGAGGCTGTCTTGTGGCCCTCTTTGGCCGTCTTGGGAGCGTCTCGGACTGTCTTGGGGCCCGTTTTGATTGTCCTGGGGTCCTCTTGGAGGTCCCTGGGGCCGCTTTCGGGCAATATTGGGGGTCTATTGGGGCGTCTGAGGCTGTTGGAAGGAAGACAGATGCTGCAACAATAGTGACTATTAATTGGACAAGCGGACGGGACAGCGATGAGTTTTGCTTCTTGGGGCTCTTTAAGGGAGTCCTTTTGGGGTGCTCTTAGGCTACTGACACTTGGCGGCTGTCTTGAGCAGGGTGAAGAACACCAGCGGTCAGGCTTCGTCCCTTCCCCTCGACTTTGAGGGTATGTCCCAATGGGGGGCGCCAGTTTACCTGATGCCGCTGCCGTCTTGGTTCCAGACAGCGCCGCCCTATCTGCTAGTGTAGGCGGCGTTGCCTGCACTTGATGTGCGGCGTTGGCAGTATAAGCGGCCATTTTCTGTTGCCCCTCGTGGCGAACATGAAAGAACAACGACAGCTTTGAACAACCGCCAGGCAAAACAACATCAATACATTGTACGTCTTGAGGCCTTTGAAAGGGGGTTCCGTTGGCGCTCTTGTGGGGTTCCTTGGGTGCCTATTTTGCCGCTCGTAGCCATCTAGGATTTCTTGGAGCGTTCTCCTGTTTCGAGAGTTTCAGGGTCGCCGTGTAGCTTCCCTGGAACACCCCTGGAGCTTCACTGAAGCCCGCGCCACGGAGTTCCAGCATGTCTGCCCTGGACTTGTCGGGGCCGTGCCCGGGCCTGCCCGTTTTTTCTTGTGTTGTATTCTCTCGTTTAGTTTTCTTCTTCCGGGTACGCACGTGGGCCGCACCGCGCGTGTGAATCTGGAATCTGCACATATTCTGAGCCTTTACCAGGGTTCTAGCACGCCTGTGGCCCGTTGGGTCAGCTTGTCTTGTGCCGCTTGCCACCAGAAGGCAGCAACATAGATGGTGGACGCGCAAATGTGTGTTTCCGCCGTCTCAAGTTCTCTTTCGTTTGTGAACTGCGTGCATGGTTCGCGTTAAGTCTTCAGCGCAGCATTGTTTAAGGGAACAGGGTAAGACACCGCAGCGTTCCTCTCCCCTCCCCGCCTCCTTCCTCCCCTTTCCCCGCACCTCCGTTTTCTCCTCCTCCCCATCTCCGTGCCGCCTGTCCATTATCGTCCCCCTTTTCCCCTCCTAGTTGCAAGGGCCTGGGGTGCCCCTCCCAGACCAATCCACTTGTTACCGTTTTCAAATACTTCTCCTTCTGAAGAGGAGGAACACGAGGAGGAGGAGGAGGGGGATGAGTAGGATGAGGACAAGGACGGGGAGGGGGAGGAGGAGGACGAGGAGGAGGAGGAGGAAGAGGTGGACTAGTGGGACAAGGAGGGGGTCAGGAAAAGGGGGAGCAGGAAAAGGAAAAGGAGGACGATGAACACGGGGCGGGGGAAGAGGTGATGCAGGAAGAGTTTATCCATACTGGTCCTGCTCCGTTCGTCGCCCTGTCAAACTGGTCCTGGTCCCTTCCTGCTGTGGGGGAGCTTTGGGCTGGGCGCAGCCCCGGCAGATCCTGCGCGCAGTGCTGAAGCTCGTGAACTACATCAACCACGGCACCAAGGCGTGGAGGGGGATGGAGTGGAAGGGGGGGGGCGAAGGGGTGAGTGAGGGTGACCGACCAAAGAGGATCACCGCAGCACGGCGCCCTCACAGCAGCAAGGCTGGAGGTGGGACGAGGAGCTGGATGTCGCCCAGTGAAATCGTGCATTCCTGGGCATTCCTGGGGATTCCCAGGCGTGACATGGGTGAAGGCAATGCCATGTGCACCGCAGTGCTTTCATGTCGAGGCATCTTGGCCGTGTGACAGAGGTAAGGAACCGTGGCCGTGCGACAGGGGTCAGAGCACGGCCATGTGCACTGCATTTTGTTTGATGGATGTATGACAACCAAGAAATCGTGGCCGTGTGACAGGGGTGAGAGCACGGCCATGCGCATCGATAGTTTATCGAAGACGCCTACGGCGAACCACCCCCACCCCCTGCCTTGGAAGTGCCAGTGTGGCGAGAAGTTGGGCTGGAGCTCACATGTTCCCCCTTCTGTCGTTTAAACTTTTCGTGGAACACGCGAGGAGGAGGAGGAGAATGAGGAAAAGAACGAAACGGAGGAGGAGAAGGAGGAGGAGGAGCAGGAGGAGAATCAGGAGGAGGATGCCTCTTGGAAGCCTCTTGCGGCACTGTTGGTATCTCCTGGGAGCTTCGCGGGGGCCTGTTGAGGCATCTTGGAGGCCTGCTTGGGCCTCATCGGAGCCTTTGGGGGCTTGTTCGGGGCTGCTTTGACCGTCTTAGGGCGTTCTTGGCCCGTCTGACACCGTTGGATACCGCCTTAGCTGGCTCTCTGAACCGGCTTGGGAATTTCTTGGGGCGCTTCAGGGCGGCCTTCGAGACCATCTTGGGCATCTTGGAGGCCATCTTGGGCGTCTTGGACTCAAAATCGTGAGTTTCACATGTTGAGTCCTCGCTCGCGCGCCACTGCACGAGCACTCTCATCCCAGCCTGCCGGACGAATGCCATGGTGCAAGATGCCCCCGGCCAGCACGCACGCCGAGCAGCAGCAGCAACCCACGAGTGTGCCTTCGGCGAACACGACGAGAAGGACGGCTCTGATCCCGCCCAGCTGCTCCGCTGCGGCCGCCAGCTAGACTGCCGAGTCGCCGCGCCCAGCCCAACGCTATCTCGCTTGTTGCGGAGAGACTGGACTGGGCCAAAAACTGCTGAAGTATGGGGCCCGCCACTCTCGAAAAGGCTTGAGCAGGGCACGGCTGCGGAGGCGCGACCGTATCCATGCGCTGTCATTCCAACATGCACAGTCAGCCAAGCGCACATCTCGGCCAAACGATGGGAATCCATGTTCCCCCCAGTCGGTGTGGAAACTTTTCGGGGAACACGTGGGGGAAGAATGGGGAGGGTGAGGAAGAGGACTCCTTCTTGGTGCATCTTCGCCAAATTATCGGACCGATGATGCTGAAGCTGATGTCGATGCTGGTGATGCTGGTGATGCTGATGATGCTGAGGATGGTCATGGCGATGGAGATGGCGATTACGATGGAGACGATGATGGCGACGCCGACGATGAAGAGGTTGATGATGATGGTGAGGGGATGGGCAAGAGGAGGAGAGGGAAGAGGAAACTGGTCGGGAGCAGCTGGAGCAGGGCGATTGGCTGGTGGAGCCGCTTCCTCGATTCCGCCTGGGCGGGATACGTAGGACATCGGCAAGGGCACCATGCGGAGTTTCCCCATCGAGTCCCTCAACGCCTTGGCAACGTTCAAGGCGTGTGACCCCTTCTCTTCTTCCTCCTTCCTTCTTCTATTTATTCCCCCCTCCTTTCTCCCCTCTCCTCCTGCCTCTCCTGCTCCTCCAGTTCCGTTCCTTCTCGTCTTCCTCCCTCCCCCCCTTCTCCTCTATGATCGTCCTCTTCCTTCCCCCTCCCCCCCATCCCCCTTCCGTCCTCCCCCCCTCCATTCTCCTCTCTCCCTTCCTCCCTGTCTGCCTTCCTCCTCATCCTCCTCCTCATCCATTCATCCATTCATGCATTGAGGGCACGACGGTTGAAGCCCGAACCAGGACAAGGAAACGACATGAAAATGACTAGGGCCCTCCTCCTCTTCTCCTCACTCGTCCCTTAGTCCCATCTTCTCCCAGTTTCTCGAGTGCTGGATCTGCAGCACGTGCGGGTCCTTCGGCAGCGAAAAGCTTCGCAAGCCGTTGGCTGACTCTTGTTCGTTGCCGCCGACGGCTACCCACGGCAGAGACCGTGCTGCTTTCAGGGCTGGGCATTGGCCCAGGGATCAGGTTTTGCCGAACCGAGCTAGGCCCTCGTAGTTCGCCTCGTTTCTTATCGTTCGGATGCAGTTCCTGGGAGGTCAATTTCTGACTTTGCCCTGATCCGATATCCGGCTTACTCTCCGGCTCAATTCCGCTTATTCCGGCGTTTTCCCGCTCAATCCGGCTTAGTCCCGCCTAGTCCGCGGCCCAATCCGGCGTAGCAGCCCCCCAATGGGGCTTAATCCTCCTTACGCTTTTCGACGACAGTAGTTGCCTCCTAACATGCCATTCCCTGTCCCCCCATCTCCTTAAAGAACCCGGTGGGAAGACCTTCCCTTCGGCCTACCCCAGGCCTGCCCCTGGGCCCTTCCCCCAGGCCTGCCCTAGGCCTACCCCTGGGCCCTTCCCCTGGGCCTACCCCTGGACCCCCTTGCCTCCGAACATTCCATTCCCTGCCCCCCCATCTCTGCTCCGCTGCCCACTGCAGCGGGCGCCCCCTTCCGAAGAGGTGGGCCAGGCCTCCGGGCTGCAGATCCTGGCGTTCACGACGCGAAGGCGGGGCGGTGACGACGACGACGACGACGTCGGCGGCGACGACGACGAAGACGACGACGACGACGACGACGACCACGATTTGGCGGCGGCGACGAGGCGAGGGCGACCACGATTTGGCAGCGACAACGACGACGGCGAGGACGACGACGATGCCGTCTGCGACGGCGACAAGCGTCGGAGGAGGGCAAGTCGAGACATCAGTAATTAGCTGGCCTTCGGGGGGGGGCCCGCGTCGCCACGGCTGGGAGCAGCTCGGGAAGCCAGTGCGTTTGGACCCCGGGAGGGGTCTGGGGACCGATTGTGAGCTGCCGTTGTCTGAACTCGTCCTGCTCCAAGACGACGCCGCTGGCGACTACGACGACGGGGGCGACGACTGGGTGGCGGCGGCGACGAAAACGAGGGGCGCAGGCGTGGAGAGTGACGAGAGGGGACGAGTGAGAGGAGGGGAGGGGAGGGGGGAGGGAGGAAGAAGAGCAGAGGATGAAGCAGGAGAGGGAGCGGTGTGTCTGCATGTATGTCTTCATGCCTGAATGTATACATGTATGCATGTATGCAAGTCTGCATGCATGCCTGTATGCATGTATACATGCCCTCATGTACGCATGCCTGTTCTGCCGTTATGCCTATATGTCTCTATGTATGCATGGACGTGCGTTATGTATGCATAAATATGTGTATGTATGTATGCACGTTTGTATTCATCCATGCATGTATGCATGCATGCCTGCATGCATGTACGAATGCATGCATGTATGTATGCATGCATACAGGTATGCATGTATGTATGCATGTGCACAGATGCGTGTATGTGTGTATAGATGAGCGTATGCATGCATGCCCGCACGCATGTAGGTATGTACGTATGCATGCATTTATGAGTACACACTGTATATAGTAATGGTCTGTGCCACCTATCCGGGGCGTTCTGGAGAAGGACGATGGCGTCGATCATGGACGGCCAACGATGAACGACAAATGTTCGATGATTGACGACGGCTTTCGAGAGCGAACGACGGCCGAGGACGATGACGACGACGATGACATCGACGATGACGTCGATGACGTCGATGACGACGAGGACAAGGAGGAGGATGCTGACGGTGACGACGATGGACGATAGGACCAACGCGGACACGGGTCGTCTCCGAAAGCGCTGCACGGCCCCCCCCGTCCCTCCCAGAGCGCAGGCACCCCCCTCCTCTCGGAGCGGACGGGGCCCTCCCCGGAAAGCGCTCCACACTTCCCCCGCCCCCTCCCAGAGCGCCCCTCCTGCCCCCCCCCCCAGAGCGGGCAGGGCCTCCCCGGGAGAGCGCTGTGCGGCCCCGCCCCTCGCCCCCTTCCCAGAGCGGCCTCCCCCCCCCCTCCCAGAGCGAACAGGGGCCCGCCCTGGAAAGCGCCGCACGCTCCTCCCCCTTCCCCTCCCAGCTTGGTCTCGCTCGGACGTGTGCACTGTTTCTCGGCGGGGACCATTAAGAAGCATCCTGGATTATCCTGCGAAACAGCCACGCACGAAACCGAACAAAGCACAAGGAATGGACGTCCGAGCGATGGTCAGCCAGAGCACCCCCCCTCCCCCGTCCCAGAGTAAGCGCTGCACGCTCCTCCTCCCCCCGTCCCAGAAGCGCGCCCCCTTCCCCTCCCCGAGCGGACCAGGTCTCCGCAGAGAGCGCTGCACGGCCCCCCCGCCATTCCCAGAGCGGAGTTTCTCTGTTCCGCTCCCAGGGCGGACAGGGCCCCTCCCGAGAAGCGCTGCACGCCCCCTCCCCTCTCCATCCAGAGCGCTCCCCCCGCCCTCCAGAGAATTCCCCTGCACCGCTGCCAGAGTAGAGACAGCCCCCCCCTGAAAGTGCTGCACAAGCGCTGCACGGCCCCCCCACCCTCCAGAGAACTCCCCCCCGCCCCCCCGCCCGGAGCGGACAAGGGTCCCCTCGGAAAGCGTTGCACATACGCTGCTCCCAGAGCGGACAGGGTTCCTCCAGAAAGCGCTGCAGAAGGGCTGCACGCCCCACCCCTTCCAGAGGGGAGCTTAACCGAAGCTCAGACCCACGCTCTCTTAAACTCACACGCCAGATCGGCGGATATCGGAGGTTGGGGGGTGAGATCGAAGTGGAACGAAGAGCCCCCCCCACCGGGACATCGGTTTCGGTTTCGGGTTCGCGTCGTGCGTGCGGGCGAGGCGAAGCTGCGTGGGCGGGCGAGAGGTATGACTCCGCTGTGGCTAGGGCGGTTCAAGAGCCGCTGACGGCCTCTCCTCCCTCCCCGGTGGGCGGGCGGTAACTGATTGTCCCGCCGTGGTGTCCTGTCGCTGTCCGCCTTTCCCCCGCGGTGAGCGGGCGGTGGCGTTGTCCCGCCGTGTCCTGTCGGTGTCCCGTCGGTGTCCCGTCCGTGTCCCGTCGCTGTCCCGTCGGTGTTCCGACGGTGTCCCGTCAGTGTCCCGTCGGTGTCCCGTCGGTGCCCCGTTGGTGTCCCGTCGGTGTCCCGTCGGTGTCCCGTCAGTGTCCCGAGTGGTGCCCCCACTGGTGTCCTGTTGGTGTCCTGGTTGTGTTTCGATGGCATTTAGCCCTCGTGCTTCTACACACGTATCGTCTAGCCCTCACAGCTGGGCTGCCGGCCGCTTTTGCCTACTCTTATTGGTCCCTGTCGTGCACTACCGGCCTAGTGCCGCGTCGCGCCTGTAAGTGGGCTGCGTGGGATTGTCTACAGGCTGGCTCACCCCTCTTGCATCTCTGTCCAACCTCGGGTTCTCACCTGCCCGTGCTATGCCCTCTACAGCTTGGCTGCTGGTCGCGTTCGCCTCTTCTTCAATGGGGCGATGTTAGTGCTGCACCCGCCGCTTCGCTTCGTACCCTGAGTGGGTTGCGAGGGAGCCAGTCAAACACACTATACTCCATTGTATCCTATACGACCACCCTTCGGGTGATAAGGAGGTTCGGGGTGGAAAGGAACCAACGTCTCACTCGATCGGTCTCACTATCGGTCTCACTCGATCTATTTCATTCGATCGATCTCACAATCGATCTCACAATCGATCTCACAATCGATCTCACTATCGATCTCACTATCGATCTCACAATCGATATCACATTCGGTCTCACTATCGGTCTCACTATCGATATCACATTCCATCTCACAATCAACGTCATCATCATCAACATCATCGTCATCAACGTCTTCAACACCATCGTCATCATCATCATCATCATCATCATCATCATCATCATCATCATCATCATCATCATCATCATCGGGACACCATCATCATCACCTCATCACCATCATCATCAACAACATCATCATCACCATCATCATCACCATCATCGGGACGCCATCATCGTCACCATCATCATCAACACGATCATCATCGGGACACCATTATCATCATCGGAATGCCATCATCATCATCATCATCATCATCATCATCATCATCATCATCATCATCATCATCATCATCATCTCATCATCAGCATGAGCAGCATCATCATCATCATCATCATCATCATCATCATCATCATCGGGACACCATCATCAGCATTATCATCATCACCATCATCGGGGCACCATCATCATCGTCACCATCATCAGCACCATCATCATCATCGGGACACCATCATCATTAACATCAGCATCATCATCATCATCACCATCATCGGGCCACCATCATCAAACTCATCATTCTCATCGTCATCACATCGTCATCATCCTCATAATCAACATCATCATCTTCATCATCGGGACATCATCTTCGTCATCATCATCATAAACATCATAAACATCATCTTCATCATCATCATCATCATCATCATCGGGACACCATCATCATCACCATCATCATCAACAGCATCATCATCAACCTCATCATCATCATCATCATCATCGGGACACCATCATCACCATCATCATCTGCCCTTCATCATCACATCATCACCAGTATCATCAGGATCATCATCAACATCATCATTGTTATCATCATCATCATCGGGGCACCATCATAATCATCAGCAACATCATCATCATCAGCATCATCATCATCCTAGGGATACCATCATCATCACTACCATCACCAGCATCATCATCATCAACATCGTCAACATCATCATTATCATCATCATCATCATCATCATCATCATCATCATCATCGGGACACCATCATCATCACTACCATCACCACCATCATCATCACCTTCGTTATCATCCTCAATAACATCATCGACATCATCATCATCATCATCATCATCATCATCATCATCATCATCATCATCATCATCAACCTCATCATCATCGGGACACCGACGGGACACCGGCGGGACACCGGCGGGACACCGCGGGCCACCAGCCCCCGGAAAGGAATCATTTGGTCTGGCCGCGCCTCAGCTGGAGGCGGGACACAGGCGGGACACCGCGGGCCACCGGCCCCCGTAAAGGAATCATTTGGTCCGGCCGCGCCTCAGCCGGAGGAGACTTTCTTCTCGCCCGCCCACGCAGCTTCGCCTCGCCCGCACGCACAGCACGCACGAACACGAAACCGAAACCGATTTCCCGGTAGGGGGGCTCTCCGTTCCCCTTCGATCTCACTCCCTCACCTCCGATTCGACTCCTGTTGTTTCAGTACGCCTCGGCGCCTGCGTGGCCTTCCCGGCACTTTCCACGTGCATCAGCGGTCGCGTGTCTACATGCGTTTGCTTTCGTCCAGGTCCCCATGTGCAACGTCAACGTGTAATTGAGGTAAGCGCGCCCCGCCTTAGTACTCGCGGTACTGTCACCTTGCCGTTGGAAAAACGTGTACGCCGTTTTCTTCTCAAGCCTGCTCATACTGATACGGCCGCTCCGTTCGCCTTCGGCAATGTACGCGTTGGAAGAGCTTCAATTCGGAGCTTGCCCTGGCCTAACCCCCCAGCAGTTTGCCCGCCTCGTTTTCAGTTTTTGGGCTCGCGAGCTGCGGCAAGAACTGCGATCCTTGCGAATGGGTGAACTCTTCAAGTGCCAGCGACTTAGACCGATGCCAGCTGCATTGGCCAATGTATTTGTACTGCTGGTTTGGTGTCGCATCGGGCCTCTGACGCGAATAACAAGTATGGAGTTGGAGGTGGAGGTATATGCAAAGGGGGACAACGATGAAGGCGGAACAGGAGCCGAATCAATTCTTGCCCTTTCTCCTCTCGTCCTCCATCCCCTGCCGCGTCGCGCTGTCTGGGCGAGGGCGAGCTCGAAGTTCTTGCAGGGCCTGAAGCAGAGCCTTGGCCACGTCCAGCAGGCGAGCCCTCCCCGCCCAACACACGCCTGGCAGCGCAGTGCGTGCATACCCCCCCGGCCTACCCCACCCCTTCAGAGGCTTCTCTGGGCGGGGTGGTTGCGCGCATGCTGGCGCGGTGCTGCACGCCTGTCGCGTGCGCGCGTGTCTCGTCGTGCGCGTTTGCTGCTCGTCTGCGCGCGCGAGCGCGTCGTGGGCACGGCGGCACGCGCGCACGGGGCGTTGACCGCGGGCGCCCGCGGTCGGCGCGAGTGGGCTTCAGCGGGGAGACCCGCCCGCAGTGCGGGAGGAGGAGGAGGAGGAGGAGGAGGAGGAAGAGGAGGAGGAAGAGGAGGAGGAGGAGGGGGAGGAGGGAGGGAGGAGGAGGAGGAGGAGGAGGAACATCAATACTGGTATTACGAAGAATAATAAGAATGGTACTAACAAAACTAAGAGTAATATTAAGAACACTCAGGCTAATACTAAATAGAGTAAGAAGACGATTGATACGACTAATGCTCATAGGAATATCAATCATAGTAATACTACGACCAGTAAGCCATAATTCAAACAATATTAGACATACCACTAGTAACAATAAGCATATTCATGCGAATAGTCATATTACTAAGACGAGTACTATTAATACTAAGAAGAAGCTGAAACAGACGACGACTAATAATAGTACTATGACAACTAATACAGGAAGGGCAATCCTAGTCCTAATAATGGTGCTACTCGTCATGCTACTCTTATCAATACTAATAACTAAGAACATGAATACTAACACGAAACATTTCACTATTAAAATTCGTAGTAATAAGCAGACGCAAAACAATAGTATGACTACTAATCATACTAAGACGCAGAAGAAGAGGAGGAGGAGGAGGAGGAGGAGGAGGAGAAGGAGGAGTAAGAGGTCGCCTGTCCTGCCCCGCCGCCCCGGCCAAAAGTCAGAGGGAGGGGGGGGTCCGTCAGCGTGGCAGTGCGGGCCGCCGCAACTCTTATTCGGACCACAGGGCGGGCCGACAAAGAAAAGCGGGCCAAGAAAGGAACAGGAACGGGCCGGAGAGCGAGGAGCCGAGGAGCGAGGGGGGGAGAGGGAGGGGGGGCGACCGGAAAGGGCAGACCGGGCCGACGGACGGAGGGACGGGGGGACGGGGAGGGGGAGCCAAGCGGGGGGAGAGAAAGGGAGAGCACAGCACACACAAGGGCAAGGAAGCAACACAAGGGCGAGCGAGCACAAGGGCACGGGGGGGGAGCACGGGGAGGAAGGAAGAGGAGAGGGGGAGGAACCGAGAGCCGAAGCCAAGGCAAGAGAGAAAGCGGGCCAAGAAGAGCACCCGTGCGACAGGGCGACACAGGTCACGCGGCCGCCAGCCCGCTAGGGTGCGGCTGCGCGGCGTCTCACTCACCGTCCTCGTGCGCCGGCTCGCGCGCGACAGCCGCCGCAGTCGCCGCCCACGCAGCTCGCCCTGCGCGGGCTCTGGCCCGCCGACGCTCGATCCGCGCAGCGCAGCCCCGGGCGAGTAGGATCGCCACGCGCTGGAGCATCTCCCGGCGCACGGTTGACTGCTCCCGCCCCTCCTTCCCGGCTGCCGCTGCTGCGACGGCCCGGAAGGCCGCGTCCGCGCCCTTGCTCATGCCGCCCTGCTGCTCGAGGACAACGGGCCGGAAGGCCAGGCCCTGTGCGCGGCACCTCTCCTCGGTCCGGCCCCGCCTCCGTTTCTCCTCGTCGTAGGTCTCGGACGGGAGCCCGGCGGCCAGTGCGGTGTCCGCCCAATGGCCCGGCCCCAGCGCGTTGATGACCGCGAAGTCAAAGCACACCTTTTCTGCCCGGACCGCACGGCTGCCGTCGGGAAGGTGCGTCGCCAATGCCAAGTGTGGGATCACGAGGACGTCGGCTGGCCTGCGCTGGTCTGGCGGCGCCTCTGGGCCCTCCTGCAGCAAGCCTGGGACCTCGGACTGCGGTCGCAGTCCGCCTCGGCACGCGTAGTCGTAGAGGACGTCGCGAATGCCGTTGTGAGTGCCCGTGGTTTCAGGGCCCCCCATGCAGGAGGCAGTGGATTCCCTGAGCGTCCAAGGCAACCCCGCACAAAGGACAGGTGGACCCCGCATCCAAGACATCGACACCGAGCCGGAGCGCGACGTTGTCGGCAAACTGGCTCGCAGTGAGTTGCATGTCAAGTGTCTTGGATGGGGTGAGCTCGTACAAGGCGCCCGCTCCTTGCGCAGAGTACGCGTTCAGCCGCGTTCCGTCTGCCGGCGGCCCTGCGTCTCTCCACGCGACCACCGCTTTCTTCCGGAGCGCGTCCCCGAGGTGCGTCTGGGTCAAGCCATCCCGTGACTCGACTGCGAAGACCTCGGCCCCGGCGGAGGCCGTGATCCTGGACACCGCGTCCGCCAGCGGGGCACCCGCGACGTCGTCGTCCCACTGGTGGCCTGGCCGGATCATCGCGCACAGGTCGTGTGTCAGCGCGCGCGAGCCGACGTAGGCCGCATCCATCTCGACAGAGATTTTGCGCAGGCCGAGGCCGCCAGCCGAGGCCTTGAAGGAAGCCTGCTCGCGCTGCCTGTCAGACCAGCGCTGGTTCACAGCAGCAGCTGCCGCCTCGAGCACGCACTCGTCGTAGCGCCGCGCCTCGTCGCCCAGATGCCTGGCCGGCGTGGTGCGCGCCAGATAGTTCATCCGGCCCGCGTTCACGCTGTGTGCCAACAAGTAGTGCGTCACCTGCGGGTCCTGGAGGTCTGCCAGGAACTGGATGATGCCCTGCTGCTTCTGCACCTGCTTCGCGCAGAAGGCCCGGCAGTGCGCGTCGTCGCCCACTGGGGACTTGAGCACCTCGCAGTTCCCATCTGCAAAGACGTCGCACCCTAAGGACACGAACTCTGCGAAGTCAACCGTGCTCCGTGTCCCGGCGGCCGGGATCACCTGCAAGGCGGAGAAGCGAAGGCCTGTCCCTGGCATCACAGCTTTGAGGTGTTTGAGAGCTCGGAGCACCTCTACAGAAGGCCCGGCGATGAGTGCGTCGTCGGCGAAGCCAGGGGCCATGTCGAGAGCGACTGGGGGGTCCAGTACAGGTAGCTGCACTGCCGTGCCGACCGGCACGGGGACCAACCCGAGCGACTCGTTCAACATCCTCTGGACCAGTGCGTGGCATGCCCCGATGAGCGGGCATCCTTGCTGCCCCCCCGACGTGCTGTGAATGGTCCTCCCTCTGTAGAACACCAGAGTGGGTGTCTCTGTGGGGTAGATGTACTCGAGCCACCGCACGAGTCCAGGGGCCACTTCGCGCATCCTGGTCAGAAAGGTGTGTCTGTCCACCTCGTTGTGGGCGTTGGCCTGGTCGCTGTTCAACATGCTGCGGTCTACGTCCCCCTTGTACTCGTCACGCCACTGCCGCGCCATGTGCGGCATCGCCTCCGCCCCGGCACGGACGCCCACGGCCAGCTGGAGAGGCTGCAGATGAGCCCGGAGCGCGTTGAGCTCCGTGGCCAGCAGCGCCTTGCCTACCACTTTGCGGATGGTCTCCCCAGAGCACATTGGCCTGGCATCATCGCTGCCGTCCTTCGCCGTCTTCCGCAAAGCCGTGCCCCGGGCGCCTCCGAGGTAAGCCCGCAGCTGTTTCGGGGCCCGTCCGTCTGCAAGTAAATTGCAAATGCCCGACAGGATGGCGCAACCCGGTTTGTCGCCCTTCTCCCCCACTACCTGCTTGTAGAAGTCGGGTCTGTGGCCGGATGGGCCTGGCGCCGCACCTCTGCTGAAGCTCCGGATTGCTGCCGTTCGTTGGCCGGCGGCGCCGGCGGGCGTTGAGAGCCGCGCTGAGAGGCTGGCGCGGCCGGGAACTTGGAGCGCATAGTATCTTCCGTCTGCTGCGAGTCTGGTGCCAGTCCTCTGCTCGAAGCGTGTGTCACAGCTTTGCCAGGCAGCCCCCGGCGGGCGAGGGCTATAACCTCTTGTTGCTTCCGCTCTTTTTGCTCTTCCTCGCTTGCTGGCTGGCCGCTCTGCTTTTTGTCCCGGCGCTGCGTGAGCTTTAGGACTTCGTCCCACACTGCCCGACGCTCCCCGTTGGCCCATCGATCAACCATGTTAGCCACAAGGTTCCGGTTCCGCTTCTCTTTCGCTTTCCCTCCTGGGAGCGCTGGCGTGACCGTTTTCGGGAACATAAGCCACTCGGTCCACGCCTGTCGAGCTCGAGCATGTTCTGGCGTGTCATCGCTGGTGCCTGCAACGTCCCACGCGTCCACCCGGGAGTGCATGAGGACGTTGGCGCCGCATTTGTTGAACTCCCGCTCCACGCTGGGCAAAAGGCCGTCCCCGATGAGCTCCCTCGTGGAGACCGGGGCCAGCATGATCTCTTCTAGAGTTGGCAGGTCGTCTGAGGCGTCCTCTTGCACCCCTGGTTGCTGCACAGCTGGCGCTGCCATCAGCTCCCGGCCCAAGCAGTTCCGATGCATGCCTTGGTTGCATCGCGTGCTGCACGATCTGCCACACAGGCGGCACGCCACCATGTTGTAGGAATCCATCCACGGTTGCGGGGGTAGCCCGGGGAGCTGGCCGAGGAGGTGGGCGTCAACGTGCGCCTTCAACCCTTGGAAGAGCCGCCATGGAGGTCGCCGGCCGCCCCTCGACGCCACGCATCCCGGCACTGGGCAGAAGTGCTGGGCGGGAGTTGGCTGCGGCGGCGGTGGCACGGGAGCTGCTGCGGCTGCCGGCGCGCCCTGGGCTGCGTCTTCGGCTGCTGGGCCGCCGGCGACCCCTCCTCCTCCTCCTCCTCCTCCTCCTCCTCCTCCTCCTCCTCCTCCTCCTCCTCCTCTTCCTCCTCCTCCTCCTCCTCCTCCTCCTCCTCCTCCTCCTGCGCCTCCTCCTCCGCCTGCGTGTGCGGCAGCAGGGGCTCGCGAGCGGCTGCGAGCGGAACCCTCCTGGATGGGAGCTGCAGGGCCTGCCGCTGCTGGGCCTGCCGCGGTGGCGGAGCCTGCACCGTCTCTTCCGGTGCCGCCACGTGCTCGGGCACGGCGCAGTTCGTCCAGCGGAGTACCCATGTCTTGCTCCATCCGCGTGTCTTCGGCGAGCTCGAGCCCCTCGAGGTCCTCGATGAGAGCAGCGTCCCCAGCGTTGCGAATAGCCCTCGCGCTCGAAGGGAGGTCGGCGCCATCCCCGGCCGCGAGAGGCGGCACAGACTCCTGCGCGTCCTGCTCGCGTGGCGCGTCCCCGTCCGTGAGGTTGCGCCTAAGCTGTCTTCGGCCAGGGCGCTCGCTCGCGATGTCGATGAAAGTGTTTCTCACGTCGAGTTGAGCGCTCCCCCCGTACGGGTCGTCCCTTGGCGCCCTCTGCTCCCGACTGGGCCCGAACTGACCGGGGAGTCCCGACGGCACGTCCCCAGGGACGCCTTGTAGCGCGCCGCGTCCGCCACCGAGGCTGCGCTGGTCGCCTGGCGCTGGCTGCATCGGCCCTGGGTTGGAAGCTTCCCCGATGACAACACCTCTGAGCCCGTATCGGGCGGATGTGCGGCCCGTACGTGCAGGGCGCACGGCTGTCCGCTCGATGTGGGTCACGCAGCAGCGGCCATCTCCCGGGTTACTTCCGCAGGGACGTGCGATCGCCTGGGAGGCCGAGGTCTGCTGGCCGCACTTCCCCCGTCTCCCCCGGGTCCTCTGGCGGCCGGCGCGTCGGCCACTGCTGCAGCATGTGGGGCTGTTGCTGCCGGGGATGAGGCCGTTGGGAGTTCGGCCCGCGTCTCCTCTGGCGGCTTCTGCACCTCCAAACTTGCCTCCTCGCAACTGCTGCCGATCCTCCTCGTCGACGCTGCCACCGGCCAGGTGCTGCATGGCCGAATCATCCGCCCCCTCCGGCGCCTCCTCTGCCTCCTCTGCCTCCTCGATCTTCGCGGATGCAGCGTCCCACCTCTGCCTCCTCTACCTCTTCTGCCACCTCTGCCTCCTCTTCCACCTCTGCCTCCTCTTCCTACTCTGCCTCCTCTGCGGCATGGACAGGTCTTCGGCCGCCTCCTCTGCCTCGTCCTCCTCTGCCTCCGTGAGCGCAGCGTGACACTGCGCCGAGAGCGGTCTGGCTGCTGCGACGGCGCGCAGGGTGGATGTCGTAGCGCGTGTCGTCGTCGTTCGTCTTCTCCTGGCACTCCGCTCGGCTGCACGCCAGTGGCCAGCCGCTCCAAAATCGCGCCGTGCTCTTCTAAGGCGTCCTCCCACGCGCCATCCACGCTCCGCTGCGCCGCGCGACGGGCGTACCGCCGCAGGCCCCTGCGGGCGTTGCGGGCCCGCGCGCGGCGCTCCACTGCCGTGAGCAGGCTCAGGTGGAGCGTCCCCGCCTGGTCGGCAGCCCGGAAAGGCACCAGGTGGTCTGGAGTGCCTGGGTCGAGCGGCAGCGTCGTGGCCTCCTCGTCCAAGCAGCCGCTCTCGCCCGGACAGAGCGCAGCATCACGGGGCCCTCGGTGTCCCTGCTGCATAAGAGGCGGCTTTCGCTGCGGCCGCCGCCTCCGCCCCAATACAGTGCGCCAAAGGCCTGGAGGAGGGCCAGGGTCGGGAGGATACAGGACGCCCCCGTCGATGTTCAGTGCTGGGCATTGGTCATCGTCGCGTCCGTGCTGCATGCCTTCCCTTGTGGCCTCCGCCCCCTCGCGCGTCGGCACCCCCTTCTCCTCCTCCTCGCCCTCTCCGCTGAGGCCCCGCGGCGGACCTGGGTCAGGCGGCGGCGGGGGCCTGGGTGTGGGGCCTGCAGGCGGGTGCGCGGCAGCCCCGTCCCACCTCCCGCCCCCTATCCGCTCCGGGCCCCTTGCCCCACGGCGCCTGCTCCTCTCGTCCTCTCCCGCCGCTCTGCTCGCCTCCTCGCCCTTCTTGGTGTCTCCCTCCTGCCCGCCCTCCTCCTCGACCTCCTCCTCTACCTCCTCCTCCTCGGGCTCCTCCTCCTCCTCCTCCTCGCGCTCTCGCTTGGCGTCCTCCTGCGGCGCCGTTGCTGCCTCCTGCGACTGCTCCTCCTGTGGGCGCCCCCCGTCGCCCAGGGCGCCCCCCGCGCCCCAGGCGTCGGCGCCCGGTGAAGGGGCCATGGCGGCGCCGCCGCTCGCGGCCCGCGGCCCCGCCCCGCTCGCGGCCCGCGGCCCCGCGCCGCGCACGTCGCGCCCCCGCGACCCGCGCCCCGCGCCCTGTCGCGAGTTCTTGAGCCAGCTTGAGCCACGGAGTAAGAGGAGGGGTAGGCGGAGTGGACGGAGAACGCGGAGGAGGATTGCCAGGAATATTAAGGTCAACCGACGTAAGAATGTGGACGAGGCGGAGGAGGAGGAGGAGCAAGAGGAGGCGGAGAAGGAGGAGGAGGACGAGGAGGAGGAGGAGGGGGAGGATGGGCACGAATAAAAAGAAGCAGAGTTTCTAACACGGAGAATCATCACGACACTAATGCTCATCATAGTAGTACCACGCATAGAAGTATTATTCTAAGTTTAAGATCATACTAATGGGAGTATCATTCCGAATAGTGATACTCGTACTCATACTACTACCGCACATCATAGTAACATAACTTATGTTACTTAGGGATATTTGAGAATGGTACTTACTATAAGTATTATGATTCCAGCCAAAATTCTGCAACTACAACTGATGAGACGAAGAAGAAGGAGAGTAGGCGGAGGAGGAGGATCAACTTTACCCAACCCCAAAGGAGGAGGGGGCGGAGGAGGAGGAGGAGGAGGAGGAGGAGGAAGAGGGAGGAGGAGGAGGAGGAGGAGGAAGAGGACCCGAGTGACGCTGCGGCCGCTGGGGTGGCCCTGAAAGCTTGGCTAAGAAAAAGGGAGGACTCGAGATCTGGACGAGGTCCGGCGAGGCTATCGACCTCCGATTTCTGTTTTTTTCAGTCCCGGCGTTTTTTTCTCGTTTTTGGTCTCCAGGTGCTAGTCTCTCTTTCCAGGCCCTGGAGCGGGTCAACTTTGCCCAACCCCAAAGGAGGAGGCGGAGGAGGAGAACAAAATGAGACAGAAAGGAAGATGGAGGAGGAGGAAGAGGAGGAGGAGGGGGAGGAGGAGGAGGAGATCCTGAACTTGTTCTTCTTATGTCGCACGACTCCTCGCCCTCTACACCTCGCTCCTCCTCCTCGGCCTTCCGCACTTACGTCCTCCTTTTCCTCCTCGTGCTCATCATCCGACTCAGGTTCTTCCTCCCCGTCCCTTTCCCCACCCCTCGCTCGCCCTCGCTCCCTCCTGCTCCTCGCTCTTCGCCAGCGGCGCTCCCTGCACCTCGCTCTCCTCCTTGCCCCTCCCCCTGCCGCTTCCTCGCTGGAGCTCAGGCTGCCAAGGAGAAGACCGCAGACATCAAGCAGGGAGTCCACGCCTTCTCGCAGGAAGCCCCCCCCCCTCTCGCACGCGGCTCTGCCCCCGAGGCCCTGCCTCTCTCCGCCGCCCGCTTGGCCGCGCCCCTGGCCGCCGACGCTGCCCAGGGAGCTCTCCGCAGCCCCAGGCCTCCCGCTCGAGATGCGGACCTCCTCCTCCTCCTCCTCCGCTGCATCCTCCTCCTCCTCCTCCGCCTCCTCCTCTTCCTCTTGAGGATGAGGGATGGGGGATGGGGATGAGGATTGGGATGAGGATGATGATGCTGATGATGCTGATGTTGATGATGATACTGATGCTGATGATGAGGATGATGATGATGCTGATGCTGATGATCATGAGGATGCTTATGATGCTGATGATACTGATGATGCTGATGATGATGCTGAACCTGCTGATGATGCTGCTGAGGATGCTGATGATGTTGCCGATGATACTGATAATGTTGATGATGATGCTGATGATCATGACGCTGCTGATGATGATACCGATGATGATGCTGATTCTGCTGATGATGAGGCTGATGATGCTGACGATGCTGATCATGATGACGATGATGCTGATGCTGCTGATGATGCTGCTTATGGTAATGATGATGCTGATGCTGATTATGTTTATGATGCTGTTGCTGCTGATGATGATTCTGAGGAGGAGGAGGGAGCGGAGGAGGAGTCGGAGTGGGAGGAGGAGGAGGAGGAGGAAGAGGAGGAGGAGGAGGACCATTGTATTTCAAAGCACTTCAACAATTTTGGAATACACCCTCATAGGCACCTACAAGGGTTTATTTCCACGGAGGGCATTGCCCCGTTTGGGGGCAACCGTATGCAAAGTCTAAAGCGTGCCAAGACTCCATTCTGAGGACGAGTCAACCGCACTGTTGCGTCTTGACGATCCTGAACCGTGCCAGAACACCATTCCTGGGACTTCAACACCGCGAATCAACGTAACTGCTGCGCCATGACAACCCTGAGTCGCTCCAACATATTAATTCTGGTATGTCAGCCTTGAGAGCCGGTGCAATTCTTGATGCATTTGTCAAACGAATGTGCGCGGCGCTAAGGCGCGAGCCCCATGTTGAAAACCACCCGCCCTCAATTCGTAAACCTCTTAGGCAATTTGTAAAACGAAGGTGCGCGGCTCTAAGGCGAGAGCCACATTTTGAAAACGACCCGCCCTCAATCCGTGAAACTCGTGCACATTTTTTACGACGAATGTGCGCGGCGCCAGGGCGCGAGCCACATTTTGAAGAGCACTTGTCCTCCATCTGTGAACCTGTTGTCAGTTTCTAAGCTGCAGGATCAGAATGGTCCAGGAAGTCTCAGGCGAAACGCCCAGCCCGCTCTTCCGACAAGCCTTTGGGTGCGACAGGGAGGAGTTATTCATAAGGAAGAGGACCCTGCAGGAGGAAGAGGAGGAAGAGGAGGAGATGGAGGAGGAGGAGGAGGAGGAGGAGGAGGAGGAGCAGTGCCAGTTGCTCCGGCCTGACGCGCCAGCATGCGGCTCGTGCGCGTCCGGCCCGTGATGTTGAGCTGCACTTAGCACCCTCCAGTTTTGCCCTGTCCTCAGCTCTCTGTCCATTCCGGGCCAAACCACCAAGAGGAGTAAGGGCGCGCTACTTACCCGAGTCCAAGTCAAATGAGCAGGAGGAGGAGGAGGAGGACGAGGAGGACCCGAGTGACGCTGCGGCCGCTGGATTGGGCCTGGAAAGCTTTTGGCTGGGAAACAAGGAGGACTCGAGATCTTGACAAGGTCTGGCGATGTCGTTTTTTTTTGTTAGTCCCGGCATTTTTTTTTTTTTTTTTTTTTTTTTTTTTTTTTCTTTTTTATCGTTTTTGGTCTCCAGGGGCCAGTCTCTCTTTCCAGGCCCTGGAGCGGAGCAGCGGGTCCCAGTTAGGGGGTCGAGATCTCTAAGTGCCCCCGAGGATGAAAACACGTTCGACGTTGGAGTTTTGGGCAATTGGGAGAAGACCGGGGGCGGAGCGGAGCTGGGGACGTGGTTCTGGTCGCAGTCCGCATCCGAAATCTTACCAGCTTCGTCTTGTCCAGCATTCCGAGCGTGCGGATGGTCCTCGTTCGGCTTCCGCTCACCCGAGGTACTCGTCCACTCGTCATCACTTGGTGTCAGCCCTGTGCGTTGTGCCCAGTCGGGTCCGTGTTGGGTCAGCCTGGCACCCTCTCTCGCACAGGTACGTGGTGACCCGCGTCATTTTGGCTTGCGTCGCGGCTATGCCGCTTCCCCGCGCTCGTGCGTACTGCTGCCTAGGGGTCTCTCGGCTTCCGCCACCCTGGGAGTTGCAGCCTGCCAACGCTCTCGCCTCCTGGCGACAATTCCTTGGCCGACGGTCCTTCGGACCACCCTGGTTCTCGCGCTTCGCCGACGTCCGGGGCATCGCCTTTGCATTTCTCGTTCCTACCTCGGCCGACGTTTCGTTGGCCTCGGCCACCCTGGTGCCCACGCAGTCGTCCGAGGTACAGTATCGCGTTTTCTCTGTCGGAGTTGTCCCTGGCCGCCGTTGACTTTCCGACGTTTGGTGCCGCCGACGGACTTGCAGTTTTGCGCGCTGGCAGTTCCCCTCAGTCTCAGTCCCCTCAGCCGCCCACCTGAGGCCTCGGCCGCGCTTAGCCGTCGCTTCGCGCGCTGCTCTGTTTTATTTTTCCCGCGTTTCCTCTGCCGAATTTGTCTCTGCGTAGCCCGCTTTGACCTGAGTCGCCGCCGGCGCGCTCGCCCGCGGCCGCTGATTAAAAAGTACCCCCACCAGCTTCTCGGTCGTGCTCTACCTAGTCTCAGGTCTGCACCCGCACGAGTTCTCCCTCGCCGACGCTCCGAGAGAGCCCGGGAGATTCGACCGCAAAGCCTGGTCGCACCTGGGCTTCTTCTACGACGTGTCCCTGGGTCTGGACGCTAGCAACCTGGTCTACAACATGCTCTGGACGTGCCTGGTCTGGGTCTTGGGACTTGGCGCCCCCTGGATGGACCAAGACCGGGCCGTCCCTACGGAGACCCTACCGCCCCCACCTCAGACCCGCGGGCGCGGCTACCGTTCCAGGGCGAACCGACTGCGCGCCGAATTACCTGCCCAGACAGGTTCCGGAAATTTGGGGCCGGAAAGCCCGTGAGTGCTGCAAACATCGTCAACGCCCTGGCATGGATACCTTGACGCACCTCTTTCAGCCAACCCATCCTGACCAGCCTTTCAGACGTGGCAAGGTGGACGCGGACGAAGATCCCATGGGCTCCCCCAAGGCCCGCGCCGTCTTCATAATCAGGATGCTCATGATTAGGGAACCCAGGGTTCTCTTGTGGCCCTTTTTCCCACGCTGAGGGCACTGGGGACGTCATCGACGCGGTGCTCGGCATCTGTGTCCCCTGGCAAGACGCCCGCATGGAGTTCCGCCAGAAGTTTGCCGAGACTTGGGGGCTCCATGGGCGACCTAAATGCCCTGCACGGCCGCGTCGACGACGCTCTGCTCCACGTATCCAGGCTGGTGACTGTCGCGCACCATCACGAGGCAGCCCAGCAAGCCAAATGCCAGCAGACCTGGAAGGATCTGGAAAAAGCATGATTTCATGCTGGAGGCCCCCAGGATCGCCTTGGAGCAGATCGTACCCGCAGCAAACGTTGCAACCCTGGCCAACGCCACGTGCTCCATCGGCAACTGGGTTAGGCGAATCAGGCGACGACCTGGCCTTGGACTACATAGGAGGAGCCACCGCTCTGTCGAGACCGGACACCTGGGGGCCCCCGAGCCCGTCTTCCCTGCCCCTTGCGCGCGGCTGACCCTCCGTTCATGGCAGATGGCTGGCTCAGAAGGGCGCTAAGTTCACGTGCGACGTCTGCGGCAGAGCCGCCCTCAAGTCGACATTTGGGACCTGGGAGAACGACGAGACCCGAGAGCTCCTGGCGCAAAACCGTCCGCAGGCGTTCTTCTTTGGCAACAGCTGCTGATGGCTCTGTGAGGTATGCTGGGTCTCCAGCGTCGAGGCGCGCGGCCCCCCCGCGCCCGCGGGCGACGTCGCGATGCAGAAGGTTCAGGGCTACAGCAACAACCTGGCAGGCGGCAGGGGGCAGAAGCAGGTGGCGGCTCTCCCCTCTCTAGCGCACCTCCCTCTCGGGTACGGGGTGCGCCCCTGCGCGGCTGGCCCCGTCCCTCTGAAGGACCTCCTGATGGTCGCAGCTGATCAGCGCTGCCCTCCCCTGGCGAACTCGACCCTGCCGGCGCGCAGGTTCAGCGACGGGAGATTCGGGGGAGATGCCCAGAGCGCCCGCTGCTCCTCTGCGAAGTACGACGCGTGTCCACCGGGTGCGCCCCTCCTTCCGTGGAGGGTCACGGACCCCGTCCTCGGCTGCTTCCTGTGGCGTCCCGAGCCAGGGCCAGTCACCGACGACGGCTCTGGTCCCCCTCCCTGGGGCCAGCGGCAGTCTTCCCGGCAGGAGCTGAAATTGAACGCCGCGTGGTGCTGCGGGAGGTGCCCTGTCTACATCTGGGATGTTGCACCAGGCACCCTGGGCATTCTTGACCGCGGCCCCCAGCAGGTCTACCCGATAAATCCTGCCAAGAGGCCGCGCCAGGGCATCGTGGAGCAAGCCCCCCTGGACGTCGCAGACCAGCTGCCTGCCAAGCGCACCAGTGCAACCTCCAGGGGCAGGCGCTCCAGAGACCCTGCAGCTCGGGGCTCACGGGATTCCAGAGGAGCTGCAGGGAGCCGTGGCGATCGCTGCTCTCCAGCAGGTCGGCACCATGCACGCTCGCCCTCTGGCCAGATCTTATCCCGCCCAGTTGCCCCTTGCTCAGCTCGAGGAAAGTCGCGGGGCTACGCGCGGCAACAGACGACGGGCAGAAGCGCTGCCGGTCCAACAAGGTACGAGACGTGCAGCGTGCCCTCTTGAACTACCTCCGCGATAACCATCCCGACGCCGACGCGCGCTAGCAGAATTCGTGCAGGACCAAGGCAGTGACATCCCCGGCCCGAAGGATCAGGAAACATCCTGGCCGGCCAAGAGCTTAGTACCTT